AATTAGAATTTTATGAAATTTATTCATTTTGTTGCTCATCTCTTAATCATTTAATCACAACGTGTCACTCAAAACGTGGCAGAAAACATCTAATATTTTATAAATTTAAATTACACGGTTAAATGCCTTCTTGTTAAGAAAACGACATAAAATTAAATTTTTAAAAACCAGTATTTAAATTTTAAATCAAAGTTTATTTTACAATAAATTTAGATGTAGTTTTGTAAATATTGAGCTATTTTTTACTAAACGTATTTTTTTATATTGCAAATCAATTTGCAAATTAAATTTTTAAAATTATCATTTATGAGTATATTTTATGCTTGTTAAGAACATACTTCAATATTTCATGAAATTATTATAAAAATTTAACTTAAAAAAGAAAGTAATTTTAATGAAAACGTGAGGATATTATAACTTAATTTGCAAAGAATGTGAATGAAGCATTTCACTTATTGTTCTACTATTTTATTTCATCTTTAGGAAAGAATTCTTTAAGAATTTAGAACTTTGAATCGATTTTCTTAAGAATTTAGAACTTCAATCTAGAAGAATGTTTAAGTTTTTAATTCACTTATTGTCTTTTATTTTTATTTTATTTCATCTAGATTTGATTTTTTCAAGAATTTACAAGAATGTAAGACAATTTTGAAGAATTTTGCATAAATGTAAGACAAATTGTTTATGGTCTTATTATTTTATACTAATTGGATTGGATTTTATTTATATGTGTAAATTTAAAAAAAATAAAAGGTGTCTGATTGTATATTGATAGAATTTGATAAACTGTATAATTATAATATCATTACACGTCATAATAACAATTTTATATTTTTTGGTAATTTTATATTATATGATTATTTTACTAATAAATTTATTTTTCATCTGTACATAAATAAAGACCGAGCGATATGTCGACGCCCGTGAAACTGCGCGCGTGCGCATTGAGTAAGGTAAGGGTTGTGGGATAACCCATATTCCTCACAATGTACGATATGCCGAGGTGTGTATGCTGTATTCTTTCTTGGGTCGCACACGTTGAATACACACATGCAGAAAATGAAAATTTTCAGATCATTATAATGGACGCACATCCAACTGGAAGAGTTATAGTAATATAAAACTTTTTTTAATTGCGCCAGATTACATACTGATAAGTAATAAACATACACAGTCGCCATTCTAAATTATGACATCTTTTGTGTCAAAGTTGTTATTGAATTACAACTAAATTGAAGTGGTGATTGGATTGTCTTCGGTCATTTAGATAATAATGAAAGATAATTTCGCTGAATTTGATGCTAATTTTCTGATCCTAAAAACTTATCCATAACGGATGGCATGGCTATATAGGTCTACCATTAAAACAAAAAAATAACTAAACCGAAACTTAAGTAGTTGCAAATAGCATTTTGCACTAAGGCAAGTTGCATGAACTTTACGATACCTATTCATAATCAACTTAATAATAAAAAATTTAATTTTATTTATTTAGATATAAAATTCAATTGGACATAAAATTTTTGCTTCAATTAAAAATTTCAAATAAACTTCTAATATCTGTAATTGTTTAAGAAGTTTCATTTCATCCATTTCGTGTTCTACAAATAAATTTTATTCAAGTGTCAACTGTAATCAGTATGCACCATGTATGTATCTACAAAACAAAGAAGGCGGATTCCCATTAGAATCGCGTAAATGCCCGGCGAAATTCTAAATACTGATGATTAGGCGCTTATCGTAGGCCTAAAATATTTCAGCATGTTATTTCCAACTTTGAAATCAACCGCCATACAAAGTTTCTACAAAATCGTCAGGAATAAAAATTCAACTTTTGATTACGAAAAAACGGCCTAGCCGATTCTAAAATCGTATCTATAACAAATAAAACGATTCCTTATAGCACTTTCATTTGTTAGCCCTTATGTTCTGTTTATTTCAAAAATAAAATTTCCGCGATCACTAAAAATTATTTAATTTGAATTCCAATTGATGTCATTCGAACATACTTATAATATCTGTAAATAAAATTAAGTGATTAAGTTATATAACACATTTCATTTCATTCGTTCCAAGCTCTAACGACGTATTTTATTTAAATACGAAAGACATAGATTCTGATTAAAATCGCTCAAACGCGGGGCGCAATTCCAAACTTTGGTGAAATTTTATCATTCAGCCGCTTATCTTAAGCTATATTTCAGAATGTTTTTAAGCCTATGGTATCAATCGTCATACAAAGTTTCATCAAAATCATCAAAAAAAAATTTAACATTTAATTACGAAAAAACAGTCCGGCCAATGTTCACCAAATACTAATCAACGCGATTCCCAATAAATATCTTTCAAATAGTTTTAGAATATTTATAATTAAGTTGATTAAAAATTGAGAGCTAAAACGAGGATAAAGAAGTATACTTTTCTGCTAATTACAAAGAAACGGTTAGGCTGATTTTCGCACAAAACTGGCACACTAATCCTTATCAACCTTCATCGAATGTCTTTTGAAATACACACATTTTTTTTTAAATCTTCTTTCTTTCTTGAAAATATGTCGACAGTAAATCGACATAAGTGTGCACACATCTTTAAATTTAGTCTCATTCCATTCAGAATGACTTGAAAGGTCAAGAAACCATAAAATTAGTAAAGGGGAAATTGAAAATTGCTCAGAAGGTAGAAAATTGCATTCAATAACATTTAAATCACTTAAGTAACTATTACAATTGTTATAGTATATATCATATGTATATGTATGAAGAAAGGCCTCTACTAAGCACAATCCTGAAAAGAAAAGGAAACTGGATCGGACGCATTCTGCAAAAAGAGTGTCTCCTGCACGACGTCATTGAAGGCAAAATAGAAAAACTGAAAGGACTTACGCGGGAACTGAGAGCCGAAGCACAGGTCCAGAATTCATAAAAGAAAATACATAAAAATGAATATAAAGTGATTAATGGTCATTAATTAATGGTTATCAAACGGTTATGGGAATAATAAACAAGGGAGGTGAGGAAAATCATTGATTTTGTGGTGCTGCCATACCCTGGACCTGCCTTCAGGCAGACTACTATTTATTATTATTATTATTATATCATATCATGACTAATACTCTTAATCAGTTTGTTTTTATTGAACAGTAATCAGAACTTGAGTCGTATTATCTCTTGTAATGATTCTTCTTAACTACGTGGCCTTTTTAATAAGAAACCTAATTCCTAATCCATCTATTTTTAATAGATTTTTCTAAACACATTTTCACCATTACGTAAGAGAAATTTACAATCAAATGTTAATCTAAAATTGAATTCCTGTATTTCTATGTATATTATATGTATGAATAATTATAATGAGATGCAATAATTATCAGTGCAGGGTATTAAACATCATTTTTAAATAACTTATTAACAATGACATAATTAATAAGATCGTAATACTAACGATGACATATTGAAATGTCCAATAAATGAACAATCCGTGAATGGATATAGACATTGAGTTAATTAGTTTGTTAATTAACAGTGGCTTTTCAAAAGAAAATCCAGTGTTTACATTACATATAAATTTGTGAACCAAATTATGAAGTATAACTATGAAAAAACTATAATATGCATATGGCATATACAATTATAAACACAAGTGCACTAAACATTCACATGCGTATACACAGGGCCGGTCCTACCTTGAATGCGGTGCATGCGAAAAATGCGTGCGCACCCCTTAGGGGACTATAATATAGTTTTTCCAATATCATTTAAGAAATGTATGATTTTTTGCATATTTTACTAATCCTTGTACAACTTTTTAAAATGCGTTAAAATTTACCTTTAAAACAACAATCTGACACGATGGGAAAGTGAACATAAATACATTCAATTCGGCTCTCACGATATCAATGGGAAAAGTGTTCGATGAAATTTTGGATTTTATAAATTTATTTTTTATTTGAAAATTAAATTAAAATATTCCAATATAAAGTGCCGGTGTTATGTTTAATAATGAAAGGCTAGAATTATTTGCTCTTTATGATTTGCTCAATATAATAAATCGCATAAAATCCCCAAAATATATACAGTAGAAACTCGATTAACCGAACTAATTGTAGTCGATGGGCATTCGGATATTAGAAAATCCGAATAATCGAATGTATGGAGAATAATGTTGAATATTTATTAAAAATAACAAATACATACATAGATATCAACTAAAATCAATGTTTATTAGGAAATTAACACTTCCTTATGCATGTACATAGTTTTTTAGACTAAATTACATACAAATACTAAACTTCAGCATTGATTATGGAAAAATTCGAATTGTAGGTATGTACATACATATAAATTGGTTGCGATTGTCAGTCCGGATAATTGCGAATCCGAATAGCTGAGATCCGGATAAACGATATTCTACTGTAAGTAAAATGTTTCAAAACCCAAATATTAATATTACACATGCGTTGGAAATAATTTAAAATTTAAAAATATCCTTGCAAGAAGTAATGATAATACTGAAATTTTTAGATGTCCTAAAAAATTCGGGTTGTATTTAAAAATTTAAAAATAGTTCGGAAGAAGGCGCAACAATTCGATTATGAGACCCCTCGAATCACCTTGATCTTCTAAATAAATTTACAATCAATGTATTTTATGCACTTTTAGATTGTATCTAATTTTTTGTGTACTAAATATAGAATTATTAAAAAGTATTTAGAAAAATTAATGAAAATGTTAATTTTTAATAATAAACTGTTAAAACAGTCAAAATAATTCGGGAGGAGGGCGTCAGAAAAAAAATGGCATTTGGGCGCTGAAGACCCAAGGATCTGCATATACATACGCATAACGCATACCATATTGTAGTATTGTAAATCATAAAATAAAATCATTTATTATATGATTGAATATTGTATTAAATCTATTAAATTAGTTCTCTTCAGACTCATATCATACGCGGTTGCAATAAATCGAATATTTAACAAACAGAAACAAATTTTTTCTTACCTTCGAATGAATTCTGCTACAATATTTGATCGGATTTTCGAATTAAAGTCCAGTTCAAAGCCATTTTATATCTTTTACGCCAAATCGTGTTTTAGTTATATAACTAAGTAAACACAAAAGTATTTTTCTGTCTAACACTGAATTGAATATTATTTTATTGTACATTTCAACATGCATAATTTTAAGGTTACAATTTTCTATGAATTGTTCGTAATGTATCACCACAATAACACAATTTGGCAGTTGAATACAATTTCAAATTAACAAAGATAAACGTCAGTAAGCACACGATAGCTTGTAACATTGTCGAATAACAATTAAAACCATCACTAAAACACTAAAACTATGTTTGTATCCAACGCTCAAATGTCATATCATTACCATCCATTGTTGTTTTGACGTTGGTAATGTTGGTATCCATGGCCAAGGTGATGGTGAGTGAAGTTAGCAATTTAACATCCGTCATACTTTAGTGCCAATGCCAGACATAACTAAATAAAATTAATGCATATGGAAATAAATAAAATATTATTAAGCGAATGCTAGTTGTAACTGTGTATTTGTCACTAAGATAAAAATGTCTTTATCAAGGTTTGTGCAATAATTTACAAGTGGCTTATTAACTTCGACAAAATAATTTAACAACAATGGCTGATTTACAATTGATTGTTTCAGTATTTTACCAGCCCCTTCGAGACCCGCTTGGGATCGAGATGAACAAAGACGCATACAAGCACCACCCGTGGGAGCTCTTGTTTCAGCAAGAATTGCTGCGCCTCCTTATGGACAAAGGAGAGGTTGGGTTCCACGACAAGAACAAGATTTTGGAGGTCATTTTAATAGCCTAATTCGATATACTATGAAAACTGTATGTTATATGTGGTAAAAAATATGTTGCAGATGGCGGAGCTTTTCCAGAAATTATGGTGGCACAATACCCATTAGGTATGGGAGCGCCTAATAGTAACAAAGGTACTTCGAATGCACTGGCCGTGCAACTTGACCAATCCGGGAAGATTAAATATGATGCAATTGCTAGACAAGGGCATTCTAAGGATAAAGTATGTATATATTGATATATTAGTGCTAAAGTTTATGTTAGAAAAAACAATAGCAGCAAAACAGATTGTAAAGCAATGTTACTTTACATCAATTACGGAGCGAAGTGAATTGCTGACAGAGGCAAAGATAATTAACATAAAGTTGTGTGAATGTGTTATTTTGCTTTAATAAATTTTGTGTTACTTTGCTCTGAAATAAGTTTTGCTAATTAAACAAAGTATCACCATAACGTGACAAAGAGCTATTTTCATAATCTAGATTTAGTGAAATAATGAATTACTATTTTCAGATTGTGTATTCAAGTTTAAGTGCTTTATTACCTGCAGAAGTACTTAATGATGATGCACCAGAATTACAAAAGCCAGATGAAGAAACTATTAAGGAAAATATGGAAAAAACACGATTGGCACTAGAAAAAATCACTAGTGCAAAAATTCAAGCTGCTATGCCAGTACGTGCTGCTGATAAACAAGCACCAGCACAATATATAAGATACACACCTTCGCAGCAAGGCGATCAGTTTAATTCTGGAGCAAAACAACGTGTTATAAGGTTAGTGGCTTTATATTGAAGTTTTCTGTGTAATTTAATCTAGCATATAATACTTTTAATAAAACAGAATGGTTGAAGCACAAGTTGATCCAATGGAACCCCCTCGGTTCAAAATAAATAAAAAGATTCCAAGAGGTGCTCCATCTCCACCTGCGCCTGTATTGCACAGTCCTTCAAGAAAAGTATCAGTTAAAGAACAACGTGAATGGAAAGTTCCTCCTTGTATATCTAATTGGAAGAACGCTAAAGGTAATATTTTTTTTATTCATAAAATCATACAAAATGTGAGTAAGCTTTTTAAAATAACTTTTATTATGCTAATTATTTATGTTTTGCTAAATGTTGTTGAAAATTTAAGAAACATGGTAGTAATTGATATAATCTTCTGAAATATGATGAAGCAGTTCTGTGAAAATATTAATAAACTCAAGTTGCAAACACAAATGGTCACATTGCAAAGTACCATTTTATTTGACTAATAATTTCTACTAATGATTTCAGGCTACACAATACCCTTGGATAAGCGTTTGGCTGCTGATGGCAGAGGTTTACAGCAAGTTCATATCAATGAAAATTTTGCTAAATTGGCAGAAGCTTTATATATTGCTGATAGGTAAGATGTTTTGCAAATTGCCCTTTATATTATTTGTAAGAATATGTAAATACTTCTATGTTCCCTAAAAATCTATTTCTTCTTTAGAAAAGCTCGTGAAGCTGTCGAAATGAGAGCTCAACTCGAGAAGAAATTAGCTCAAAAAGAGAAAGAAAAGAAAGAAGATAGTTTACGTCAACTTGCTCAAAGAGCTCGTGAAGAAAGAGCTGGTATCAGGCAAATTGATCCTGCTGGTGAAACAGTCATTCCAAGTGAAATGAAAGAACGAGATGAATTAAGAGCTGAAAGGCACAGAGAAAGAGCTAGAGAAAGAAACTTGGCCAGAGCTGGTGCTGAGAAAAGGGGTAAACTGCAACGAGAGAGGGAACGAGATATTAGTGAGCAGGTAAAGATATTTGGAAATAGTAGTTGAAACAAATATCAAGAGGCTTTTTTAGTTTTTATTTATTTTATTTCAGAAGTTGTGATCAATAGTTGAATTAGACTTTTATAATATTTTTGCAACTTAGTATAGCAATATGAAAAATTCTTTTTCTATTTTAGATTGCCTTGGGTCTTCCTGCAAAAACTATTGCGGAGGGAGGACAATTTGATCAAAGATTATTCAATACTACAAAGGGAATGGACTCTGGTCTGTATTTATGCATCTTTATATTATATAAAGTATAGAGTTGAATACAAAAAATTTATTTGTAATTTAATTTATAGGTTATGGAGATGATGAGCAATACAATGTATATGATAAACCATGGAGGGATGCAAACTCTATTGGTTCTCACATATATCGTCCCAGCAAAAACATTGATCAAGACAATTATGGTGGAGATCTTGAGAAAATTGTTAACACAAATAGGTATATGAACTGTAATACACTAAGATTAAATTCAATTCTTGTTGCATATTTTTTAAATGCTGAATCAAATGAAATAATTTTTAAAAATTATAACAGATATTATGTTTTTATTTTTATTTTTTAGATTTGTCCCAGATAAAGATTTTAGTGGTGTGGACAGATCAGGTCCGTCAGCACCAAGAAGTGGACCAGTGCAATTTGAAAGAGAAGAGGATCCATTCGGTTTGGATCAGTTCTTGAACCAGGCCAAGAGAGCCCCCAAGGCACAAAAGCCTGATGAGCACAATGATGATAGTAAAAGAAGGCGAAGAGATTAAATTCTGAACTTTTTTGAAACCACTCAAATTTGTTAGCTAATATTTGAATATTCGTCTTGACAATTACATTTAAGTGTATACTAGACAAATACAAATTTTGTACTGTTTTACAGTTTACCTCACATTATTGTACTTTAAATCACATGTGAAAAGTACTTCCGATTTGCATTCTATCTTTTTTATTTGAAAATATTTTTTTTATGAATAAATTAATATGAAAGTAGTATTTTATATGGAAATATAGCAACTTTGATTTCACACCCTGAAACTTGGATTCATTTGATTAAAATATTAATATTATTATAAGTATAATAATATCATGTAATGTATTTGTTTGTGATAGACACAAAGTGCATTTCTCATAATAATTATTACTGTTTATTTCTCCAATATTTGATCATACTGTACAAAAATATTTGTAGAATATTAAATGATGCAATAATATTTAAAATACATATTTGGTTGAAAAATTGTAATAAAGTTTTCTTTGTCATTTTTTACGAGTTGATCATTGTAAATTGTAACTTGAGGGTTTTGAATTTGTGACCTACAACAAAAGATCTATGTGCTCTGATAAATTAATACATTAGTAAAGAATCGGTGCAAGAAATAATACTATTATATACGAAAAATTATTTCTTCATGACACATTTTTGTATATATATACAATACATATATATTTCAGTTCGGTTCAGAGGTTGAATAACTCATAAGTCATATTATATCAAATCAAGTTGATCGATTCGGTTAAGTTGTATGATTCAGTTAAGTCAAGTTGAATGAAGTCTGATGATACGGTTAAGTTATATTAGATAATTGAAGTAAGACTATGCAGTTCGTCATGTTAGTCGATTGAAATCAGATGATGTGGTTCAGTCGTATAAGTCGGATGATTTGGTTCATTTTGATTTGGATCAGAAGTCAAATACCTCAGATGATTTCATTCATTTTTGTCATGTTCATGTTTGTTAAAATTAATAATTTTATATTTAAATATATTAAAATAAAAAAAAATTATTTTTGCTAAAATATATATTCATACAATTGTATCTCGGTTAGACAAATTGTTTGGTTCTGGTATAAATATTTTTTGGCATGATACAAGTTGAATCAAATCAACTGAAATCTAGTTCGAATCTGGTTGAAGGGATTGATACGAATGATTCGTATCACTTGATTCGACTTAACGAACTGATTTGGAGTTTAAAATCGTGCGGACATCTATCGCGTTCGATATAACGTATTCATTCAAATTGATTTCAAAAGATTGCGGTCAAAGCGTTCCGATAATGCAGTAAAACGCATATTAACTATATAAATTAATTATTATATAATAATTACACAATATAAATATCTTGCAAGCTCATTTCTTAATTTGGGTTAATTATATTATTGATATATTAATCATCATAACTATAAAAAATGCTAATTATTACATAATATTAAAATTAAAATATATGAAAAATTTCTTAATATTAATTAAAATTATATAATTTTATTTCTTAATCATATGAAATATTTAAATGGAATAAGTAAAAATGCGGAATAATAATAAATAAAATCAAAAATCTTAAAACTCCAGTAAATTGATGCTGTATTCAAAAATTGACCCTTATTTTTTATGTACTATATCAAAAGACTATAGTATACTACACAGTCTTATAATATAATAAATATTATATTATAATATAATATTTTTTACGCGAATAGTTTATT